CCCCCCCCCCCCCCCCCCCCCCCCCCACCACTTTCATGACCACGTGATCCAACCACCAAACACTGGGCAACGCTACCCAACGCGTCTGGCAAAGTTCCAGGGAGCGTCGACGCAAAATAGTGTTGGCAGAGATGATAGAGCAAAGCGCTGGAAGGCCAAAGCATCACAGATCACCAGCCAAGCTGAGTTTTTGTAATTGCCGTAAAATCGAGGTTAGCTCAAATAATTTGGGGCCAAAAGTGGAAGTTGAGGTAGAGACAACAGGTTGATTACTAGGTGATAAGCACTGCGGAGAGACACTGGTGAAAAGTCGCCAGGAACGCGTACTCGGAGAACCGCGCTGTAAATTAGCAGTTGCTGTTCCAGTCTTCTAAAGCCGCTCACAATTGCCGCACACTCTTGTTGGCCGGCTTTTCGCATATTCCTGCAGTACTGCTGGTGTTACACTGTACTTCGGTCTATACACTCTGCGTTCGAATAATGATTACTGTGATCAGAAACGAAATTTACTGAACACACAGCGGATTTAACAAATCCACAAGAAGGCTGATGTAAGGGGATATAATAGAAAAGAGAACTTCGATCGACGAGTTACTCTTTCCGGTACATTTGAAAATTAGGTAAATTTGTTTTTTGACGGATGCGCATGAGGTTGTTCTTGAGCTAAGAAAGGGTAGTGTTGTTAATAGCATTTACAGTAGGAATATTGACATCGTTCTTTTCCCGAAGTTTACTGGATGGTGGTAGTTCGTTCTCGAAGTTTCGATTCATATCATCCTCAAGATCCAGCCAGACCTCGTTGATTAGCTGACGCGTGATATGCCCAGAAGAAGTTCGTTCTTCAAGCAACCCCATTTGATAGGCCTTCAATTAGAAGCAGCACTTATGCCAGTAAAAATGGTGACACATTCAGTATCAATAATTTAATAAACAAAAAGTATAAATTATTATCAGTAAAAGCATAAATTATATGAGCAACTTCCCCTAAAAAAAATCCACCCCCAAATATCCCGCTAAGTAATATCGAGGTACAACAAGCTACAATAAGCTTAGCGGGATTGCTGTTACACCCTTCAACAGCGGTGACGTTTCAAAATGAATGTCGACATCGGATTTCAGGTCGAGCAAATGTGCATCGCATTATTATAATTAATTATAATATAACAGGAATAGCAAATCACTGAGGAAACACTTTGTTTGTGAAATAACAAGTGAAAGTAATTAATTTTAATAATGCTACTTGGTATTTGGTTTGTGTGAAGTACAAACCAAACGCTTCCTCAACGATTCATTACCTTTTGATTAATTATAAATGCTGCTGTACAGTGGAGGTCACGTGCTGAAAATTCTACATGAATTTCTTCACAACACTTATCCACATGCTAGTGTATGCAATTCGCACTAAGAGGCAACAATTCTTTCTTATACTTATCAGCGAAGTAAGGCACACAGCCCTCTTAATGAAATGTTGGAGGACTCTCGGCAATAAAGGCATTAATATCGAACTCATTAAGTCTGAAGAGCATGAAATATAAAAAGATGCATCTTCAAGTGTAAGTACGTCGCTGTTGAAAGCTAGTGAACCAAGCAAAATGAGGAAATGCAAACACCTGTTCAGCCACAACAACATTTATGTAAGCATATTGCCATCGATTCATCACTGCTCGTGGTCTCTGTTTCCGGATTGTTTCGATGAGATTCTGAATTTTTTACGTCCATAACTTTATCACAACGAATGCTTAACACAGAAATTCAGAAAATTGTTAAGTTGAACAATTGAAAAGCTTTCTCTATTCAAAAATGGATACTGCTAAATGAATTCTGCGGAAATTTACCTTGATATTGACAGTTCCAGCATTTTTGAGCTCATAAATGGCGCAGTCTAACGCAATGAGAACACCGGTGCGGCCAATTCCGGCGTGACAATGCACCAGCAACTTATTATCCGTGATCTACAAATAAGCCAGTCCAGGAATCCGTCATATCACTGAATAAGCTGCCTCTTCCCTATTTTTCTTTACAAGCAAAAGAAACCAAAATTGTTGTAATGAGTGAAAGTTGGATGAAAAAAGAGCCAAATCCAATTTGTACAGACGAGAAAAGGAGATATAGCATATTTTTATAAGGAAATAAATTTTTGGAAAACAAGGTGATGTCGATTTGTCAAAACGACGCCACTTTGATTTAGAGCTCCTGGATTTTTTTCTCTTCAAAATTCTGAATAATTCACGTAAAAACTATTTCAGACTCATGGGAACACTGGAAAAATCCTTGAAGAGCTAGCTCTCTCACTCCTTCATCCGTCCTCCAGCTTTATAA